TGTCCGCGTTGAACCCTATCTACGCACCACGTGCCTCATACGTCACACTCGTATTCGGACCGATTTAATTACCATACTCCCAATATTAAACCGTCCAAAATTCACCCAAAAATTAAGCATATTATATTCAAGCTCTTACCTTATCGCGTGCGTTGCGACGAGGCGTGCCACAGCGAACAGCAGGCTCGGTCACGGCACATCGCGGAATCTCGTCCGAACGCGTCGAACAATAACACGGAACTGAAACATAAAGGCATCGACGGAAATTCACCACGAGCCTGTTATTTACATTCAGCTCATCTACAAGCCACGCGCCTCTTACCTAGGACACTCGTGTTTTGCTCGAATTCCTAGCTACGAGTCTCGCATAATATTCTAAACGGTGTCGATTCTTTCCCATCGTGCGACTCGAATTTATATATCTGTGACGAGTTATTTTGATTCTCGCGCATTCGATGTACCGATAAAAATATCCCGGTTCGTACAATTATGTACGATTACCACGAAATCACCTCTTAGACACCCTAACTTCGATCTATCACCGATTAGAAGCTCGCGTTGATCTGATTGTCATCCAACGGAGGTTACCCAACGATAACCCCGTGGATTCGTTTCCGAGACTTCGTGCACGAGGTCCGTTTAATCTGTCAGCTATGGGAAACTCGCATTGTTGCGCGTTTATAACCGCAAACGAGAGCAAACATCGTTTCCGCGGAGCGAACGTTAAATTCACCGGGCTACCGTTGGCCCGGCGAGAAATCCATAAATTTTGATAGGCATTAAATAAAATATTAGCGAATGGGAAGGCGGATCGGAGACGGTTGCGGAGGGAGGACGAGTTTTAGGATCACACACGAGTCACCGTTGCGAAGCGGCGTTGGCTACCTCAGAACCAGCGACTCCCTAGGGAGCCCGGATCGTTAATCGCCCGAACGATTCCCTTTCGGCTCACGTACGGGAATGGCCCGTGGAATCAGCGTAAAAATACAAATTTAATATCGCTGCCGGAACGGTCGACTGACCAGTTGTAGCCGGCGGATATACCGGTGTCGACGAGCGCCACTTTCTACGTGGGCTAGAGATTAAGAGGTTGGGGTCGGTTGATTAGCACTTCCGGTGAAGCGGACCGAGTACGAGACTTCCAACGGATTGTTTGCTTACCGAATTTTCGCAAGTCTTCCTTTTTATCGCGCTCTATGCCTTTCTTTTCCGTTTAGATCCTTTCAACGACTGGAATGTCTTCCATCGACCGTCGTGACCGATTGTTCCTTATTTTTATTCGCTAAAAATTGCCATCCCTGTCCTGTGGGTACCTATTTCTGCAAGTCTTGTGCGAAATTCGTTTCCATTTTCTTATTCTCAATTTTTACGTGTAGAAATTGGGAACGACCGAATGAAGTGGAAGATAGTGGAACACAGGGGGTTAATCATTTTTATAGTCATAATCGTTTTATAGTGATCTGCGTCTTGGCGATACGTTACAGTGCAGACATTCTCGTTTACCGGAACAACGACGGATTAAATGTGGCATTTAAATAAACCACCACGGTAAATCACGGTAATTTTCTAACTTCCTGATAATAACACACGCGAGCACCTGCAACGTTCGCGTTTATCGGAAAAATTTGCAACGTCCGAAGAGGTAACGGAGAACATTCATTTAAAGAGGAGAAGTTGCCTCGAGGATCCGAGCTAACCGCAAATTTATGTAACGCGATATCTCGAATTAACAGGAGACAGGAAAAATTGCCCGACTCGTTGCTCGCCCAATTATCTCCGTAATACCCAGTTTTACTTTTCACGTGCAATAACTCAAGGCTCGCTTTTAGTCCCTTGACTAAAGTTGGCGAACCTTCCTCGGGGTTCACCTCCAACGTTACTCCGTCCGGGACACCGACGCCCGATTTTATCGCGCGTCCCTCTCCTCCTCTCACTGGCTGCCCTTTAGATCGTTACATTAGTTTCATTCCCGTCGCCAAGTCCTAATTTTAAGCGGCGATCGAATTAGATCCTGTCTAATTATAAGTTCCGATAGAAACAATTCGCGAGCCCGACTGACAGCGCTACATCATCGAGATGCGAGATTCTACGTTATGTATCGATGATCCACTCGCGATCGACTATGAAGGAACTCGGGAACAGGAACTAGAGATTAAAGAGACTTGGTGTCCGTGGAAAAATTCGTGAACACCCGATAAGTATTTCTAAGGGTACTCCGAGGCACTCGGTATCCCCTGAAGAGCTCGAGGAAACCATATTTGTAAAATTCGGAAATATTTTCTTCGCATCTCGAAGAAGTCTTAAAGATACTCTGCTGTACTCGCGAAAATATTCCATTAAATATTTTTAACTAGAGACCTAATACTCGGTATCCGTGGAAAAATTCGCGTACACCCGATAAGTATTTCCAAGGGTACTCCGAGGCACTCGGTATCCCCTGAAGAGCTCGAGGAAACCATATTTGTAAAATTCGGAAATATTTTCTTCGCATCTCGAAGAAGTCTTAAAGATACTCTGCTGTACTCGCGAAAATATTCCATTAAATATTTTTAACTAGAGACCTAATACTCGGTATCCGTGGAAAAATTCGCGTACACCCGATAAGTATTTCCAAGGGTATTCCGAGGCACTCGGTATCCCCTGAAGAGGTCGAGGAAACCATATTTGTAAAATTCGGAAATATTTTCTTCGCATCTCGAAGAAGACTTAAAGATACTCTGCTATGCTCGCAAAAATATTCCATTAAATATTTCATTAACGCGCGAGAGAATACCACTGTCAATATCCATGGAAAATAAGAGAAAGAGTAACCGATTCCTCGCACCCGCTACAGCTGCCACGAGAGCACTTGGTCGATGCCTGAACAGCCAAAATTCGCGAGTATCTTCAAAGGAACTTGGAATATTATACCATGGTCTGCCACTTGCTGCCAAAACGAACTCGGAAGAAACTCTGCCGATACCTGCGGAATCGAACCCTTCGTTCGATACCTCGATATCGAATGTTCGACCTCACCCTCTATTCGCCTAGATGACACGCGATATATTCCAAGGTTAGCCATCGAGAAGCAGAAAAGAGGGAGAGAGAGAGAAAGAGAGCATGGCCCTGTTACCACGACGCCCTACTACACCGGAAATAAGGAATTCTCGCAGTTTTCTTCTACGTGATTGGTCCTTCGGGCAACGTGGATTCCGACTCGAGACTCACTTCGTACCTACTATCCGTTATACAAGAGTATACCGACTTATATATAGGTTAGGTTGAAGGTTGCTACTTGGTATGCGGATCGCGCTTTTCATTACCGGAGGCTCTCCCTACCCCCATCCACAGTTCTCCCTCTCCTCCTCGCCCCGTCGCTGCAACAGCCTAAACCAACCCTCTCCTTCTTCCGCCCTTCTACCCCCGTTCGCCTTTTCCACCCCCTTTCACCCTTTTTGCTCCCGCGTCTTCGTCCCTGTCTCGCAATCCTCCGCACCCTGCCACTTTTTTCTTATTATTACCGCTGCTGTCTGCTATCAAACGTTTCGTGTCGCGGCCTGCGATCTTCCCTTTCCGTACATCTTCCTCCTTCTTCCTTTTTTCCTTCCTCTTATTTTATTTTAGCTCGTTGTTTTCCGCCGCGGAGGTAATAAGTTCGTATCGGAATTGGAATAGCTACGTGATGCGGCGATACGTGTCGCGACTAATGGGGGTTGTCAGCGACCTGGATGGGTGCCGAAGAGGCGACGTTATGGCTGGTGTTCGAGTTACATTATTAATTTACTTCGATTTCCGTTCGAGCTTCTACAGCCTTCTTCGGCGTTGAACTTGCGCACGATTTTCGGTGCTAGATACAACTATTTTGGCAAAGGAGCTACCTAAATTTATATTTCTCTTTACATTTATCGGGAATAAAGACTGATCCTGCGAATTAGGCTTAACCCTTTCAACCCTCGTATACTAGACAGGCGATTGTTATTCTACGTTCGTCATATCGGGGAAAATATGGAAAATGTTTGATATTGTCTGGTGGTATTAAATGTTCGTAAAAATCGGGAGAAATTATAAGGAATCGTTCGAGTTGACATCGTACGCCCCTGCGAATTCCGTCTGCTTTCTTTCTTTCGCTCACCCCATCTCCGCCTCTTCCTCCTCCGTATAATCGTCTTATATGCCTTCCGGTTGCCCGGCGGCAATAACCAACACTGGATTATGCAATATTCGATATCATATTCTCCCGGGGTGTATTTATACCTATCAGCATGCCGTGATCTAATCAGTGGCGCGGTTTAAGCACATCCTTTCGTGATTTTCCCCGTAATCGATCGGCAGAAAAATTTGGGACAACGTCGGGTTTTCAAGCGAACGGCAGATAATTTCATTATTCCGGGAATAATTAATCGCGCTGTGAAAAGTTCGTTCGATATTCACCCGGATAGTTCTATTAATCACAGAGGACGCAGCATTCTCAAAAATGGCGTTAAAATTTTTAATTCCAGAAGAGTAACCGATCAAAGTACCTTCGATACATAGGAGACATCGATCACCCATTATGCCATCTATTATTTATATTTATCTCCGTTTATAAAAATGACAGAAATTCTTACGTATCCACCATTCGTTTTCTCTCGGAACGAAAATAATGGAAAAGGTAGGGAAATATTTCAAAAATATATCGTAGATTTCACCGCAGCGGAATTACACTGTCGCGCATATTACGGTATTCGTCTGTACAGTTATACACAAACGTAAAGTAACCTCGCGTTGCTCGAAAAGAAAAAATCAATGCAAATTTAACCCGCTCGAACCCCGGAGAGTACATAACAGTACATATCGCGTAGATATACCACCGCGATGTAACCCGCTTACGTAAGCGGCGTGCAAAGCGACCGAGAGCTGTGCGGAACCGCAGCAGAGGCCACCTATCGGAGGCAGGAGCGCGAAAGAATGCAACAGAAGCAACAGCCGAGAGGTTGGATCGTTGGAACGAAGGCCGACGACTCGATTCGTTCCTGTTTCAGAACGGCACGGTGCTGAAAGACACGACAACGGAGGAAGTGAGCAGCGGGGCGACGACGAAATTCGGCGACTCGTCGCCGATCAGTCTGACGCAGGAAGGCGGCTCGCTGTCCGACAGCGGCATCTCCGACAGCGGAAGCGAGCAGGAGCTGAGCGAACGGGAGCGAAGATTGGCCGCCCTTCGTCGGCTCACCCGTAGCCTGGAGAGCCAGCTTGCGCCCGGAAGCGAGGCGCTCGTCGAGCTTCTGAAACGCGTCGAGGACGCGGAAACGGAGCTCCGGGACCTTCAGAAGCAGTGCAGGGAGCTGATCGTACGCACCGCTGCCAGCGTCGAGGCGAGGGCCGTCAAACGGACGAGTAGTCAGGTCCACCATTGTGCCGAGTGAGTAGCATTTTTTCCTCTTTCCCCTATTTTCATACCTGCTTTTCTTCTTCGCGTCCCTTTCATTTCGATAAATCTTGATTTTTCATCCCAATTGCTGACACATTTGCCTCTCCACTTGTGAAATTCCGATTTAACTGTTGCGTTTGTCATAGTTCGAAAGTGTAAGTTTCGACGGTGAGAAATTACAAATTATTTTAGATTCATTCGAGAAATGTTATCCCGAATAGATTATGTCCTCCTCGAGCCTGGATGAAACGGTTTCGCGACGTTGACTGAATTTGGTATGGAAGTTGGAATAGTCTCAGTTGTCGAGATTATTTAGGTGACATGTCATTGATTTTAGGTCGTTAGTCTAGACATCATAGAGACATTTGTAAAATTTCATTGTCGTGAAATAATTTATGGTTTTTACACTTAGAAATATTTTTACAGAAGCTTCGTTCGTTGCTTAAATGGTACCATAACATTGGCTATTTTGTGACAAATAAAATAGTTAATAATGATACGAAGTTTGTTATCTAAATCTTCTTCCCTCTTTTTCTTCTTTCATTTTATAAATGACAGAAAGGCGAGGAAAGGAGAGAATCGATTAGAAAATTTCTCCGAGCGAGTCTTAATATACTAAAAGAGAAAAGGAAAAATAGAATCTGCGAGGTAAACGCACGGACGCGTGTTTTTTAATTTATTCAGGCGTTTCAAGACTTTCGAGGGAGTAAAGAACGACTTTCTCGGCGCGCATTCCATTTGCATAACGTCAAAATGAGCAGCAAAGAATGAAGGCGTCTATTTAGGCGCGGGGACAAGAACTTGCTCGTTCATAGTTCTGCTCCCATAACGCGTCCACTCATTTGAATATAAGAAGTTAGCCGTGAATGAACGCTCCTCGACGTTCTCTACCCTCTGTCCTTTGGAAACCACCTTAAAGGACTCGCCAGGAATTACATTACGCGTACCTGAAGAATTATTTAAAATATTTATGACGGAACTTCGTATTACCTATTCCTACGTAGCAAAATGCTTTAAATTAAAAATATTTCTAAGCACTTTGTACTTTCGCGTCTAAACTTACGAAATGGTTTCAAATTTTTATTTCGTTTCATTCTTCGCGATGTCGAAACGTATTATTCGAGCATATTCGAACGTTGTTTGTATGGTAGGAAGATTTGCAAGGAGATAGAGATGAGAAGAGAGGGAAAACGAAGACGCGTGTTCCTCTTTTACTTTCATCCCCTAGCAGATCCGTTTCGTGACCCGCTCCTTTCAATCGCAATTACTCCGAATTCCCATTATCACCGCGCCACCTTATTTAACTTTGTTTGAAGGATGCTTTTTTTATAGTCGCATTTAATCACTGCACAGTGGCGGCGGTAATAGGTTTAGTTTTCGTGAGCATAGAATGCCGGGCATATTGCATCATAAAAAAAGTTGTAAAAGTTCCCTTTCTCGCGTCGACTCGTATTTTCTCCTCGCCATTTTCCCGTTTCGATTCTGCAAACGTCTCCGCTTCCATTATTTTTATTCCTTTTAACGTTAATAGCGGTTTATTTGCCCTGGGACAAGCGGCAGACCAGGGACATGGAAAAAGTCTTCGATCTTGGCCAGGAATTTTATTTATTTCTTTCTTTTTTCCCCCCACATTCGAATAGATCAACGACGTAAAGTCAAAAATCAGCGATGAAATTCCTCCAACGCTGTTAAATGTGTGCCAGAGCACCGGAAGTTACGTAACAACGAAAGTTCCGAGATAGGAGATATACATCCGATTTGATTTCTCCGGAAACTTAGCTTTTACTCATTTCCTGGACCGACTTTCTCCCGCGGGACGCTGTAAATTAATTTGCTTCGTTGCAGGGACACCTTAAAGTCTCATAGCTACCTGAACTTCGCGGTTAGTCGACTCGAAGATTAATTCAATCACGAACACGGAAACTAATCGGATTATCCTGTATCTAACTAACCATCAGCGTCTCTTTCCTTTACGAAATATCCGTACATCCAATTACTTTCCAAACCTTTCCATCTCCGAATATTCATTTTCTCGGCCTGTTTATTCCACTCGAGTAAAAAACGAAGAATTTCGCAAAGCTCTCAAGATCCAGGAATGAGATCCAATTCTAACCGTCAATTATAAGATAAACTAATAAATTTGTTAATTTTATTCAAGATCCCCGAGGTGTTCCCATTCCAAATATCATCACCAGCTAAATCCTCTTCCGCAACTTCGATTTCTGTGCCATTTCACGTACCCAGAACGGGGGACGAAACAGCGAAGAAAACTGATTTAACGATAAAGAAAAATTCGAATTTTCTGTGCCTGTACAGCAAGCGCAAGAAGCCAGGTGCCACAGAGATGTCGAAGGACAGCGCCGAGGGGAGGATGGCGTTGGTGAGAGCGAAGAGTGGCGCCACCGATGGCGGCGACCCCGACAACGAGCCGGGACTTCCCCATAGCTGGGTCTGGCGCGTGCTGAGGGCAGCACTGCCGTTCCAGTTGGCCCTGGTCGCCCTGTTCTGGGCCGCCTGTCTCCTCGAGCCTCATTGCTGCGAGGCGGCCAACACGTTGAACCTCTCGCTCACCCCTCAGCTGCGCTACGTCAGGGGCCCTCCACCTGTGTGAGCGTCGCGGCGCCGAGCCTTTGTTGGAAAAGCCTGACGCGGAGACGCGTTCCATGGAACCTCCAAGCATGGAAGACATCGTTGGAACCAGTCGAAACCTCAGTCACCGAGCACCGGTTGCTTCCATTGCTCGCGCGTTTCATCGCGCGAGCCATTTTTAGTAAGTCGATAGACTGTTGTTAGGTAACGAGAGCGCACGATTTTCGGTGGATTCGTGGACTCGAGAGTCGACGAGACGTCAACGAGCTTGCAGAAACGGGTCGACGATCGCCGTTTCGGTTTTTCCAGAAATTTGGGGAGTTCTTCGTGACAGAAAGGTATCGAATGTCTTGCGTCCGAAGTACAGTTTCGTTTGATTCCAGCTTATTCTGCGTCTCCAGTCTTTTTGGATACCGTTAAATCTATCGGAAACTTGTTAATTTATCCGAGAAATATTCCGCCAGAGTGTGGAATTATTTTCAGTCTACCATTACCACTAGTGCCTATTGTAACTGTAACTTTTTTACAAGTCGCTCGTTTCGATCCATTTTGTGAACGAATTTTAGGGAAAAGCGAAAAGCGAAGCCAATTTTAGGGACTCGTTGACGCTCGATCGATTCTCGAGCTCGTCACGTTTTTCTGTAATTTCTATTCTTATTTTTATTTTTTTTTAACCCTTCCACTGCCATATGGAATTTCGAGTGTTCATTTTTCGAGTCGATTAACTCGGAAGCTCAAGCTTAAGACGAGATTGCAATTTCGTCCACGCAAAGAGCTGTTCGGGCTAGTTCCTCTTTTCGTTTAACGCGTGATCGTGTGATAGGAATTGCAACGAATTGCGCTTCGCGGGGAAAATCTGCGCTCGTTTGAAATTGTGATATAATAGAAAATCGAAAAAAAGAGAAGTAGAAGAAAAGGAAGAAGAAGAAGAAGAAGAAGAAGGAGAGAAAGAAAAAGATGGCGAAGGAGAATATAGAATAAATGTATAACAGTGACTGAGGCACGGCGTAGAGAGACAATGAGCACTAGGTCAAAAATGAAAAAAGAAAATGATGATAAATAAGGAAGAATTTTTTTTATACGTTTTTACGAGATGAGCTATTTAACTGTACGAGTCGAGTATTTGAATGGGTAAGTATAATTCGTATATACCTGCTCTAGCCACGCGCTAAATCGAGAATGAATGAGAGTCGCGAGAGCCACGCAGACAATCTTAGAACCTTCGAATACAAATGAACGACGAATCGAAACCTCGTAGCGTGATATGCAAATTCTCCAAGTACGAGATATAGAAACGACACAAAGAGTTCACAGGGATAAGGTTGACAGTTATTTATAAAGAGGCAAACTTTATCTTCTGTTACAGAGAATTTGCAGACAAACCAATGACGATGGAACCAATGATTCCAACTCGCACAATCGAGTTCGAGGTTTTCGAAACTGACCTGTTTGTCGGTTGGCGATTTTTGTTATATAGTATAAATATTTATTTATATATATGTTGCAAATTATATATATACATATATGTATTATTGTTTGTAATTTAATGTCGATTGAGAGAGAAGATATTTTGCGGTGTTTTCTGAGGAATTGCAAGAAGCAAAGGAAAGGACGTTCCACGCGAACGTCCTCGACGAGTATATTCGTGCATGCGATGTTAAACGACAGTAATACCATCGTTTTATTGTTTTCAGCAATTTTGTTTTTTTTTGTTTTTGTATAGACGACGGCTGCTCGCAGCTTGCGAGAGCAGTTGGCAGCACTGGCCGATGGTCAAGTGCTGCGGTGGAGGACGCGTTCGAGCTTTCTTTGCTAAAATTCCCAACGAAACCACCCGAATTAGCCAATATTTCCAGGATAAGCGTGAAACCGAGAGGAGAAAGGGAATTTTCTTTCTCTTCGACGAAATCGGTTTCGTCCTACTATCGATACCAATGAATAAACGACCAGCTGACACAGTCTTGCTCCAAGCTGCGACAGTCAGAATTATAGCAAAGAAACTTCCCTCGCCTAGAAATCTTCGGATACTCTTTTCGATTGTTCCAATAAAAGAAGAAAAAAGAAAAAAAAAAAAGAAGTAATAAGAGAAAGAGGAGAAGAAGGCCAGAATTGCGCTTGACTTTACTGGAAGCAAATGGCGACGACGAAAAGAGGTCCGAATCACCATAGATACGGGTTTTTGGAATTCTAACGAAAGTAAAATCGGGCCCACGAGCCCACGCTCCCGGTCCCCGTGGCAGTTTCAAGGAGAACGCCAACGATCACGCGTTTCAGAACCGTACGCAATTAGGGGACCGCGGAATCGAGGTCGTCTTGCATCTTCGAACTGAAACACCCGACGAAGAGACGCGAGACGCCCTTTTTCCTTCGAAGTTCCCACGAACTTCGCGGCTTTGACCGCAATTTATCAACGCATATCCGATCGATGCACTCTGAAAATGGGCAATCGTGATCGAGCAACGATGATCCTCGTCGCGTACAAACTCGATAAGAAATTTATCCGCGTATTCGCCGACGAGGATGGAGAAGAGTATGCGAGAGGGTTGGAGTTCAGTGGAAACGCACCCTCGAGTGGCATGATTCGTCGATAACCGCGATCATGCGGTCGAATCGAGAGCAAAATTTGCTGCTCGTCGAACGACGAATAAAGAAAGGTCGTGAGAGACGACGGTGAGAGGAGATGATAAAGAAATCATAAAGAAATGAATAATAAGATGATGAAGAGATGAATATAAGATGTCGAAGGGAGGGAGAGATGATTAAAAAAACATGACGAAGGTGAAGGTGATAAATGATTATAAAAATAGGGATAAAAGGATGATGGAAATGGTACCCGATGGAAATGAATAAATAAGCGTTCGAGTTGGATTGACTTTTAACGAGAATTCAAAGATGAATATGAGAACGGGAGAACCTTAGGACGGCTTCCGTTGATTCTACGATTAAGAACGTTCTTCTTTTCCTGTATTACGAGCAACGGAGCCGATCGCTAATCCGACGATGGTGTTTCGTCGATTTTAACCAACTAAGGAAATGCTAACACGGTACGATTAAGGAAACGGGAATACGTGGTTCTTCGTACATATTCTCGTTGCTTCTAGTTGTCGCTTGAAGGATTTCTTTTTCATTGTTGTACGATCGCGTAGATCGTTTCGATACGATATAACGGTACTGATAGTTAGAAAAATTAGTGGCCTTTCTTGGACGCGTACACGGTGTTCCATTTTAACCGAACCTTGCGCCAGGAAAATCGAAATAACACACAGCAGGAGGAAGACTTTCTTAACCTCTAAAAGATAAAATTAACTTCTTATCCTTCGTAAAATAAATATTTGTTAAGTATCGTTCAAAGCACAAGTGATTTTCTTAGAAATTTTACTCGAATTTTCGAACCTCTTAAACTTTTTGAGTATTCTTGTTTCCTATTGAACGATGAAGATAGTAATCGTGCGATGGCCACCGTGAATAAAACCCTCGCGATTCGTTCGAAATGGAACAGCCTGTACGCGGGCTTGTGTAAAACTCGAATCAAAGGTTTTTCATGTTATCATCATCGATAATTGCTGAATACTAAACGCTGCGATTATCCTGATGGTTTTCCAAGCGAATCGATCTTCGATAGGAATATTAAGATTACGGTTTCGTCACGCAACCTTCGATTCGATCGGCTTCCAATCGAGCACGATCGTCCGAAAATTCGCGTGACAGGGAATAATAGATAGCGTGAGGAGTGAAGAAGAATGACGAAAAAATAAGAATAAAAAATAAAAAAAAAAATAATAAAAAGGAAAAAAGAAATGTCGAATTTTATTTTTGTACGTCGTAGTGGTAATTAATGTTTCGTAACGATACTGGCGAATATTTCACCATATGTTTTACACGATAGAACGAATTTTTTTTTTTTAGATTTCGACAGTTTGTACGACACAAATTTTACAATTTACAAATCTTCACGATTTCGTGTAACCGACAGACTGAAATTTAGAGCTCAAAACGAATTTGTTTCTTGCATTTTTACCTTCCGTGCCACACTCTATTCTTTTCTCAATTTGTAAAAGCACAGATATACGTATTTGTAGTTGATAGTTTGGCGAAAATTACTACGGAAAAGAGGAAAAACGATTTTTCGTATCGTCGATGACTGTAACCCGTAGAATAAACGATGGGGAGAAGAGAAAGTAAAACCAGTAGTGTAAATAGCGTGTAAAAAAATTGGATCGAGCGATATTTTTTCCATAAAAGGGGATTTGAAAAAAAGGAAAAAACAAAAACACAGTGTATAAACTATGGATTTTTCGTAGACAGGGGGATAAAATTAAAGAGGTATATTTTGTGAGATATTTTGCGAGGGTAAAGGGTTCGTAGGCATAATAGAGAGTCTATTTCGATTTTCAGCTTCGTTAGAGTGTATATGCAGTTAATCTTGTGCTTCGATGCGAATCACGGAGATCGTTCGATTCTCCGACGAACGACGTAGCGAGAAATCGGCTAGCCTAATCGATCCCGTGACTTGTCGGAAAATCGGACGATGGTGTTGGAGCTTCTCCGAGGAGAAACGAAGGTAGAGAGAAAGCGAGCGATTACCAGAGTTTTGGCAGGCTCGAAGAACATGGCACGATGCTTAACGTGTAAGCGTTCGAGTTTGGCAGCTGATCGACTCGATCGAGAAGTATCGTGCCGATCTCTCGTCGCTATCAATGGCGGACCAAGCGTCGTTGCGAAAGGACGACAGAAGAAAATAACGAAACGATCGTTTTCGAACGGAGAAATTCGCGAATTTCTAAAGTCTCTCGGACTTGCGCGTTCTCCGTTGGCTAGAGGGTAAACGCAGATGCGAACTTCCGGAGTGTGCACGGAGTTTAGGCATCGAGTTTGAGCACTGTCCGTGCGTTGTGTTCAGAGGACGTGACCATAGGAGGATTAAGGCCTGAAATCAGGCGATTCGAGCTGATCGAGGCAAAATTGTATATTCGTAGGCATGCTGCGTTACGAGGAGAGACGTCAGAGATATCTCGGCGAGATACGGAGGTGAAGAGGAGAGGGAGGAAAATGGAGAAAAAATAGGGAGGAAAATGGAGAAAAAATAAGGAGGAAAATGGAAATGGGTTGCAGTGAATGGTGGATCGAGAAACGGTGTTTTCTAGATAATTTTGAGGGATGCACCGTGACGATCCACGCGATTCGATACGTTGTACTTACGTGTTCACGACACGACGACAAACGGTGACATGACACGTGTACACATACACACGAAATTAACCACACACGTACACACACAGAGTAGAGGAACTTATAAATAGGTTTTATTCTCTGCATACCTGATTTTTTATTAAACAGATTGTCCCGCGGGATAGCGCGGTACTTTTCATCGAGATCTGCAAGACGACGACACCCTTAGGGGTCGTTGATGTCGAAGAGAGGAAACGAAAGCGAGGACAGAGCGATTTTCGTCGGCCATAACGCGATCCGTCATATCGTCCCTAGGAATTAATTGCTCTCTCGAAATTACAATTATTCTCTCTCCACCTTGTTCTCGGAACTTTCTCAACGGATCGCAATTTTAAATCAAGCGTGAGGATTAATCGTGGAATTTGCGGAGCCGGGGCAATAATCCAGTTTTAAATTAGCAATAAATATTCCATGTAAGTTCAATGTGATTTAAGATCGGAAATGTATGTATCTACTTGACGATAAAAGTCGCTCTGCTTCCGCGATCATAGTGCTAGAACATTATCGCGCACCATGCAGGATCTGTCTCAGAATATACTACTTAAAGAAACAACGATCAACAAACTCTGTGAAACCGATCAAATTCATTCGATCGACCAGTCGATCCTTTAAATAGCACATTATGAGACAACTTCCACGGTTTCGAGTCCTTGTTCGTCGAATTTACGTTTCGCACTGAAGAACGTCGAGGTGGTTCTTCGAACGCTCGAAGACTCGCGAGGGTCGACGAGCACGAGGCCCGCCTCACCTGCCTACTTTACCTATGATAATGTGTATAAAGTACCTGAGAAATCAAAATATTACTTATATATTTAAATATATAAATACGATCACGAGAATGATCCAGTTTTTTTCCTCCGTTTCATCCGCATTATCGCTGCATTGAACGAGCCTCTGCTCCAGAATAGAACAAAAACGAAAAAAAGATAAAAAAAGACGAGCAAAAATGATCGTGTCGTGCTTTGTACAGCTTGATTTGTCGCGAAATGTATTCACCTTTGCGTTGCTGTAGCGGCTACTTAGATTTATACGTTGCATGCGGTTTTTACCTTTAAACGAAAATCATGATATAAGGCGACGCGTGAACGCGTCGTTGTATATTGGGGAAAAAATCTAAAAAATGGAAAAAAAAAAAGAAAAAAAAAATCAGTTACACGTTTAAATTGCAGGATCGATGGTGATTCGTCTGCAAATTCTATTACGATAATCGATATTTTTTACACCCCGCCCGCAGTTTCTCCTATTTCGCTTTTATACTTCGGCTTTAAAGAAAATTTGGCAAATTTTATTTTTCTACGAATTTCTCGTTTTTGATTTCTCCTTATGTTTCTACTTTTCTTTCCTCAATGGAATTTAAGTTTTTTTTTAAAAAAAAAGAAAAAAAGAAACCGCGGGCTTATTTTGCGACAAAGCTATCGAATGTATACTTTCGAGAGTATGACGCCTGTTTGTGTCGCGCTTGAGTACACAAGCGACATTAACCCTCCATGAACCGTATTATTTTCCCTTTTTCGCTTTTCCGTGGTATTATGAATCGGTATGACTCGTGTATTTCTTTTGTACTTTCCTTTTCTCGTCGAGTCACTTGTTTATCGTTTAATTACTGCGTCACGACAGGCGATTTGGTTCATGGAGGATTGAATTTGATTGTATCGGTAAGATTTTATTTGAATTCCTAGAGATCGCGATCTATTTCGAGCATCGTGTATTTTCTGCGTTATTTTATAGTTTGGCGCCGTATGTCGAGCATAAACTTACTGCATAACCATGATTATTGTATCCCTCGATCACCATTCTCTTCGATTTCTTTGATATCTTTATTTTAGGTCAATTTATCGGTCCTTTGTATTTCTTTTGCAAATTCATGTTTATAAATTTCGTCGATTTACAGCGCCGAATCGATCGACCATGGGGAGACACGTCCGTTCGACTGACAGTATTTTCTTTTCGTCCTTTTTAGTTTTCAACGGAACAGTATTCTTACGGATTTTTAAGAACGCGTTTAATTCGCGAGTAATTTCAATTTGGATGGAGAACATTTCAACTTTGATTTACGCGGGAAATTCGACTCGGGCGAAAGTGTCTTTCTACGGTCCTTTTAGCGTTTCTTATTTCCTTTGTTGCATATGTACGTGTCCTTAATTTTATTTGCTCAGACTTGTGCGATTTTGCCATTCACACCGTAAGTCCCATTTCAAATGTACGCCCTCTCCATTCGTATGAAAATTTCATGCCATTCAATATCATTGTTCACGTGTCATTGCGTTTAAACATGTTATAGGTATACTTATATCCGAACAATATCAATAATATTTTCTACGATTACGAAGTATTCTAGTGTATTTTGGCACCATGGAGAAATAAATTACAGTTTTGGACGACATGCCTTATATTTCATTCTCACCCTCTTCTAAATTTCAAACTGAGGTCAACCTAACGCGAATCTTGAATAATTAACTACGTCTCAACAAAAATTCGAAATCTCTAAAATTCGTAAAATTCGAAAATTAAATGTCATCCGGCATAGATATTTAATAAATAAATATTTAAATATTTAAAAGATAAATATTTAATAGAAACGAAGCAAAAGGGGAAGAAAGGATAAAAGATTCTCACGATATTTTACACTCGTCCTGTAAAAAGTAAGAAATATCCCGTTAATCCATCGATCACTGCTCAACGAAATCTGCCAAAGCAGTCGCGACTGGTAGACTCGAGGAAAGCTCGGAAATTGGGGAAAGCTGCGTTTAAAGGGGTCGATGTGGCGTGATAGAATATTTCGAAACGCACACGTGTTCAGTGCCAAAAGTAACGGTGGAGAAGGCGCAATGCTAAGTGTATCCGCAATAATGATCCGCTGGCGATTGATACAGAGGTAGAGGATGATTGCGGTGTGCACGGGGCCGATTGTTGGCGGCGTTAGTGAAGTCTGTACGAAGGTAGGGATATTAGAGGTTAAAGGGCGCGGCCGCTATGTTATTACGACTCACACCTGTATCCAACGGGTAGGCAAGCACGGCCGAAACTTTTCTCCGGGAATCTACTTTAATGGTTCCAGGATATCGTAAGTCGGAGCTGTAAATAAATTATTGCTGCGACCGCGGCGGTCTTTAATCGCACGTGCATAGATATGCCCTTTAATCATGCGACGTGTAACGCGTTGCAATTTCGGAACGGGATTACGGCATTAAACCGTTCCTACGATTCTAATACGATTGCTCGCGGATACCGAACCGGAGGCTGAGCAACGATCTAGCGGAACCAGCGATCGTTCCTACATCCAGCTTGAATCCTAGTCAAATGATCATCGCTTTTCGGTTCTTCGTTTCCTTCCACTACCCCGAGGTCAGCAACTACCGACCTTTAATGGCTACCTAAACATAACGGGCATGGATAATAGTAATTTTACGACGAAGGTAAGTAAATGTGTTAATTGCAGTTCTATCTTGACACGAGTCCATGTTAAATTAATTTTTCGAAAATTACGATACGCGTTCTTAGTAACTGCGAGAGGGAGAATTCTTTGTGTGACAGCGTGTATCGGATAGGTGAGTAAATTTTAAGAACATTTCTTAGGAATTTTAGGTACAGTTGTTAGATACAGGAACAACGGTGGAGGAAAAATACCAGGGGTCCCACTTGTCTCACAGTGTCTAGTGTCAGAACCTTAGCGAGTGACATAGATTAGGTTGCAGGACATGATATATAAGGACCTTTTTCCTTTAGTTCAATAGTTCCATTCAAGCACGCGTGCACTCCAAGACCCTGCTTAGTTACTTTATATGGTTACCTTACCGTATACGCGAGTACCTACTGCAACTAGTCTTATTAATAAATATACTCGCGTTACAAAGATATTTCAACAAAGGTAATGCGAGTATCATTGAACCTATCATGTAACCGATGATTGAAGAAGAAGAAGCATTTTTAAATAAATGGAATAACCAGGAGACATTGAGAAATTGGAAGAAAAATCGCGAAGACGAGTGAACAAAACGATAACGTTCAACGCGGAATTTTTAATGAAAGTTTGAAAAATCGTGATTCAGACTATGGTAGATTTAGCGTCAACTCGATTAACACCCGCGTGGGTAGATTAATCAAAAATTCTATTAGATGCGTGTATTTTGATACACGCAATCGTGGAAGTGGTCCAAGAAATCTATGAAAACTGAATTTGTCTACTATACTGCATTACGTCATTTACGAGATGAATGGTAATTTGTAAAATTCTTCCTTATATTTTGCACGATATGAGAGTTTAAGTATAATTCGCATCGGACAATTTTAGAAAACACTAGGAAGAATATTGCAATGATTTCACGCGTTTCGTAACGAAAATCTCGCGAGTCACTGTCCACGTTCACTGACAAGCAAAGAGTCAAGAAATTTGACTATTATACAGGTAACGCTCCTATAACACTGTAGATAGGTTCCTAGAAAATGCCGTGTTATGTGAAACCGTGTTGTATGAGACCCAGAGCCAGTACAAAAAGCGGGGTTACGTTTCGAAAACTTACTAACAACAAATTTCTTCTTTAATTCTACATAAACAGCCTAATTTTTATGGAAAATATAAACGTATGTACAACACGAAACAAAGGAAGGAAGAAAAATATTATTTTCATTTAACGCAACTTTAATTTAATAAATTTCTTCACTGCCCATGTAGAAGTACAGTGTTGTACAAAGGTTTTTGCCATTTTCTTATCGTGTTATAGGATGCCGTGTTGTACGAGGGTTCTCGCAATTTATGAATCGTGTTACAGTGAAACCGTGTTGTAGGAGGGCTACCTGTATTTTAAATTCGATTACCAATTAATCTATCGCCCATGCACGAAGATCGTTTCGAAAAATCCGCGATTCGCCGAGACAAGGATTTCGAGACTGTTCGAAGAATAATTCCAGAATCCGGATTTCATCCCCCCGAGATATTTCATAGTTCGCCATCGACGTTACCAGCACCGTTTGGATCACCAGGAACGTACACACCCTTTTCTCGAAGCGTTTACAGCGCCGCGTGGACGTCTCTAATTCGTAATTTACGAGGTGGCGTCGGGACGCGAGGGAAGAAAGCCGCGGGCTTAACAGGGGCAAATGAGCGAGGACAAGAAGTATTATTTTTTACGAGGACGAGGCCAGAGCGAGCAAATGGCCCATGTCGCGCTCCTCTATGACTCCTACGGGGTTCTTTTTCTCTCTATCGTCCCATAGACCCTTCTTCTTCTCCGCGCACCCCATCTCCGGTTTTCTTCCACCCTAGTCGCGCAAAGGGTTGAGACTGGTCGAGCTGTAAATTACCAAGAGGGCATTTTGATTAAATTTTTTATTGTTGCAGCCCAGGTTACAACCCGGGGGCCGTGATGACGGGTGATTTAACCCTCTCCGCTTGGCTCCGCTGCTTTTATTTTCCATTCGCGTACCTGAATCTCTGATTAGAAGTAATAATTCGACGCTGGCGAGCGCGGATCGTTAGGACGAGAAGCAACGGGCTGAGGAATGCCGCGTTATGAGGATTTTTCGGTTCGAGGATGCATTCGAGTACCCCACAGACCACGATCAGATCACTCCATTCTTTTATTTTCTCCTATTAGAATCGACGGTATCTCAGTTTTTAACCGGAACTCGCGCGAAGTTTGAAAGAAAGAGGAATAATATTCGTTAATAACGTATCTTGGAAGAAAATGACGGTAACGGCATAATAATATCGAATAATTTTCGTACGCTCACCTGATTCCACTCACGATCCTGTTGGGGATCAAACGAATTGTCAAGACTGTCGAAGAAACGATATATTTCTGACACTTTGGGGTAGTAGGATAGAATTATGAGGACGTGCTCCGCCTCACATATTTTATATATTGTTCCCAACAGCCCCGACTGCGTGCTGCGATATTCATCTCGCCCTGCTGGGAATCGTGCGTGTTAGAAACGCTGAAAAAAAAACGGGGATACTAATTGCCTCGCAGCACAGTTTCTCTTATTACCTAGAAAGCTAAGAAGCTCCCTACTTTTATCTCACTGACGAGACGAGGAATGCAGCGAAATTGTTCCGTTAAAAAAATCACGAATCTCTCCCGGAACGATATAAAACTTGCGAAAGGAGGAAGAAAGTGCAGAAAACAAGCAGGTACCTCTAATATTAAAAAATGTCCCCGTTTCTAGGTATCCTAGATATCCAAGGTATCCCAAATTTACTCCACGAACAGATCTAACTCGTCTCGCAGGTTTTAAACATTTCCCCCAAGAATTTGCCCAAGACTGAAATTTCCGCGTGGACTCGTGGACTATTCTACCGAGCGTCTCGCAGGAGAAATTAAGACAAAGGGGGCGAAGAATGGTCGACGATGGACGAACTGGCCCAGCGGACGATGGCAGAAATTCCATGGCGCGTCCCTAGATCGTTCGCGAAATGTCCATCGAGGGACAGCCGCGGGGGTGAATCGACTCAACAAGTGTTACGTCAGAACGAGCTTGCGTCTACGGTTCGGTCGATTCGCGGGGGTGTCGACGTGCTCTCTCGGTCCGCGCCTCGTAAACGGAGGCGGTACCTCGCGGCTTTCGCCGCTTCACCCCGCGCGATGCATCAGCCGTCGTGCAATTTCGACTCGCGCCGAATGTCGGCGCACTCGTGGATCGAATCGGCGATCCCGAGCATCGTTCTCGTACCGTCTATGTCGCGAGTACGGGGAAACCGTGTCGATGGAAGGTACTCGATGCGTGGCAGGTCCTGGGGTGCCGGAAAAGGTCGCGAAACGAAGCTCGGAAAGTAGGGTATGTAAAGGTTTATCGAGAATTTAGGTGTCTCGTGTATAAAATTTAGGTGACGACGTGAAACACGTCCAAACGATTTTACGGTTGCTTCAAAAGGACAGGGAGTCGAGGAGAAATTAGCGTCTCCAGGAAGACCATCTTCTGCACGAGGAAGCGCAAAGTTTAGAAATTGAAGTACGAAACGAACGCTTCGTATGGTCGGACGATATTATGGATAATTTGATAATGAATACAATAATGGCGCAAAATCGTATCCGCTGATAGATCATTACCGATGGAATGCAATAAAACACCGTACGCGCTGAGTGAAAGGGCGAAATTCTATAAGAAGTTTCACCTCGTTTATGCGAGGAACTTTTTGTCAACCTCATTATACTTATTGCTTCTTACATAAAGTATAGCTCGCTGTTGTACAGCGTTGATAATC